ACCCATGGTTAAAAGTAAAAACTAAGGAGAAAGATGTTTTCACCATTTAAAAATTCCAAAAATGGTCCTCCATGGGGATCGAACATGTGGCATTTACATCTTACCTGTCAATGGAGGTAAAACCGAGAGGTAAAGTGGATCACATTCCACGGCGCCCTTAGTTACCTCGCATATGAAACTGAGGTAACACCTCATATCCAATCTAGGTTAAATGTTTTTTTGTAGCACTTCAATGTTCAGGTCGGTAAGAGAGCGAAAAATGATGTATGAATGAGATTAGATTTGAATAACTGATAAATGACATGCTTTCCCTCTTAAATAAGGGAGGAAATTCCCAAACCCTGATTTTTTATGGGTTTTCTCGATATTTTCTCATTCCTCTTGGAATAAATAAAGTTCGATGACGACTCTATTGTATTTCAAGAGTGCGATGTGCTTGGGTTTTTACGTGCCACGATAGCTAGCGACTCTGCTGGGTATTCTCACCTAAAGAGAGTCCACCCTAGTTTAGTTTATGCTTGTGATATTGTTAGCTTTATTTACTTGTTTCTTTATTGTCTTTATTATATCATTGTATAGTTTTTCACCCGTCTTAGAACATTCTGTTTATTGGTACTTTGTGAGGAAAAGCTCTACACCCGAGTCCGAGAGACACCTAAGATAAGTTGGTGGTTTAGTATTAAACTTGCTTGATGTAGTGTCACGTGGGTTGGTGCTAATACCCCTCCTAGAATAGATCCTTTAAGAGGATGTCATCGTTTATCAAGTTATTTGATATGGAGACAATGTTTTCAATTTGGGTCCATGACTCTAGGGACCTTTAGAAAAACCTTAAATGGATGGCTATTAGGAATGACGGTTTAGCGTTAACTTGCTTGATGTAAATATTTTGGTGGGTTAGTGCGAAAAACTCACTCACAATAAACTCCCTTGGAGATTTTGTTGCTAGCAAGTTATTTTCTTAGATGATTGTATTTTAAAGAGGAATGCATGACTCTGGGAACCGTGTCTAGAACTTGTTGGTCAATGGTCTAGTATTCGCTTGCTTGACGTAGTGTCTCGTTGGGTTGACGCAAAATACCTCACTTAGAATGGTTCCCTCATGGGGATGCAATTATCTAGCAAGTTGTTTGTTTTGGTGGTGATATTCTCATATGGGGTTCGTGACTCTACGAGCATTTAAAACCTTAGAGCCACTCCATTGAGAGAATCACTGTGTGCCAAGTATCAAAATCCTTCCTACCATGAGAAATCATACATATTGGATCATTATAAACATATATGATTCCAAATATGTATCTTCTTGAGCTAGTGTATGGCATTATGTTAAATTCCATTTATGCATCATACATGACATGGCATTGAATTTTCAAAAACAAAAACAAAAATTCACGGATTCGCACTATTCAGAATACATAAAAATTTCTCCATAAAAACAAAAAAAAAACTCACGCCACTCTTTCCATCCTAACATTTAACAAGGCAAGTTGATTCCTCGACATCCTTATGAGACGCGTAGTGTTTCTCGAAGAAAGATGGAAAACCTTCAACGGATATAAGAAAAGATGAAGGGAGATATCGACGAGCTCCAAGGATCTCATGGAGATGCTTCAACAAATAGTGACCACCTAAGAATATCAGCCTTAACGCACAGTGATCTTTGAAAGTTATGGTCTCTCTATAGAGCCATAACCTTCCCAGAGGGTGACTACTTCGTGGTCAGAATTTGGTTTACCTCCCAACTATTCTCCATCATTCATGAATGTTAGGACAAGGTCTTCCACTCAATAGGTTGTGCATATACCAGTAGTCATTAGGCAGCAACCAATTATCCATATTATGGTTCATACGCCTTTCGACGATGATCGCTTTGTGTACCATGCAGATGGCTCCCAAAATGGTGATTAGGAGCAGACTAATAAAGTTGAAAAGGTGAAAGAGAAATACCAAGTCCTTGAAAAGAGGCTGAAGGCTGTGGAAGGAAATGACATCTTTGGCTTTGACACTATGAACTTGTGCTTGATCTCTGACTTGACTATTATCACAGAGTTCAAAGTCCCCGATTTCGAGAAATAATAGAGGCATGCTTATCCAAAGAATCATATGACCACATACTTATGAAAAACTGTTGCTTGTGCGAATGATGATAAGATGTTAATCCATTACTTTTAGGACAATCTAATTGAAGCATCTCTTAAGTGGTACATGGCTCGAAGAGGGACTATATCCAATCATGGAGGGACTTGATTGAGGCCTTCATAAAACAATACAAATACAACATGGATATGACTCCTGACCCGTAGGAAAATACAGACCATGACTATGAAAGAAAAATAAACATTCAAAGAGTATGCCCAACGCTGGAGAGAGATAGTTGCTCAGGTTGAGTCTCCTCTAGCTGAGAAGGGGCTCTCATGCATGTCTATGGACGTGTTACAACCTGTCTTCTATGATAAGACGATTGGAATCATATCTTTAGGCTCTGTTAATTTAGTCACCATCGATGAGCGAGTAGAAGAAGACTTGAAGAATGGAAAAAATTTCAGTGTTGCTGGATCATCCAACAACAATGTAAAGAAATTCTCTGGAAACTTCCAGAAGAAGAAGAAAAGGGTGAGGCTAATGTTATTACAACTAGTGGAGGAGAATTTCATAATCCAAATTTTTACTAGCCTTCAGCTCATCAGCAACTTTCAATTACCAGTATCTATATGTGGCAACTGCATAGTACAAGCAACCTTTTTCCTTGTTCCTCTATACCAGTAGCCATGGGTGTCTCCTCCATACAATCCTCAGCAAAATCAAAATCAACAACAAAATCAGAATAATTTGTTTCACCTCAATTTCAATTTCACTAAAAATAGTTGCAACTCTTAGTCGAAAAGTCTTCTGAGGCCACAACGAGCTTTTTAGGTGACAACTTCTTTTGCAAATTCGTCCATTTCCTTCGCCACCACTGCTACTATTTCGTTAGACATTCACCAACGACCGAATTTATAACCACCACGCTTGAGTTCGCCGACACCAAAACCACACTGCTCCACCAACAAAGTTCGCATATCAATTTCTCTTTTTAACATCATCGTTAGCTCAAAATGCTCAAGGTTGGAGAAAGGGGGCCGTAAATATGATAGAGAAGGGGGGAAAGAAAGAGAAGAAAGAATACGGGATATATATATATATATATATATATATATATATATATATATATATATATATATATATATATATATATATATATATATATATATATATATATATATATATATATATATATATATATATATATATATATATATATGAGAGAGACTTTATTGGATAAAGAATTGACCAATAAAATTTGAAAATATGAGATGTCACTTGAATGTTTAAGAGTATTTAATTGAATAATATAATTTTATTTAATCAATTACGAAAAAAATATATTATAATGTAAAATTAAATTTGTTTAAAAGGTAAGATAAGAAGTGTCTAATCATTTTTCAATTTTAATTAAATAATAGATTTATTTAAAAGATAAGATTAGAAGTGCTTAAGCATCATAGTAGATTTAATAAATTGTATCCCTCACCCACGTAAAGTTGAGAGATGTTGCAGCTTCCTCCCGATTTCATATAAATGTACCCCTGTATGTATTTAAAAATACTATTTTTCTCACAACTTTATGATGTTTTCACTTTGAATCCATATGTTTTATCTAATTCTTAGAATAACTTTTATTGTATTATATTTTTTTATCAAAAAAATTTAAAAAGAAACTCCAAATAAAAAATTAGTTTAGATATTTGTCATAAAAATTTATTTTAAAAAATCACTTAAATCTTAAACTTTTTTGAATAAGTTTTTGTTATAAAAATTATGTTTGAAATATGTTTTTTGAAAAATTATATTACTTGAATTATATCTTAATCTTCGATATAAATTTATGTTAATGAGTGTAAAAACTAGTCTTTGAATTTAAAAAATATAAATCTAAAATATTTTCTACTATTTAATAAAATTCAAAAAATTATTTAAAAAAAATCACTTTTAATAAAGTTAAGATCAAACGGCTTACTTCTTTTAATTCCTTTATTTTTAGGTCTAAGCTTTATGATATGTAGTTACTTAAACTTAACCTTAGACCACCTTCAACGGTGATTTTTCAGATTAGTTTGCCAGCTTGGCATTGAAATTGTCAATAAAAAAATTGTTTCAGTTGGTGAACGGTACAAATATAAGCAATGGTTCTTTATATTTTTTTATTATTAAAATAATCAATTAGCCGTTGTGCAATGACTTTATTTATTTATTTTTTTTAAACTTTTTTATTTATTATAAATATAAGTTTGTTGGAAAATTGTATACCAATCCTATTTTCTCTCACTTTTATTTACTATTTAATTTCAAATTTCTCTCTCACAATTTCATCATTTTATTCATAAATTTTTAATTTTATTTATTTTATATTAATTTAAATTTAATTAATTTAAATTATTATTTTAAATCAAATAAAATTTAATATGAGTAAAATATTAATATACAAACTAAAATTGTGGAACCCAATATAAATTCTTTAAAATTACACCATTGGAGTGAAAAATGGAGTGAGTTGCTTCAAGATGATATAGTTTAATGAGTCCCACAAAAAATCCAAATATGAGTAACACTATTGGAGATGCTTTATACACTTAGTATTAACTAGTCTTAATTAAACGAGTTCTTAATCTCTCTTACTATACCAAAACAAATACAGTAAATTACAAACAAAATGGACAGGAAATTAATATCCAAACTTGAAAACGAAATTATTGATTAATATCTTTTTTATTCCATATGATACAGTGCATAACTAACACATTATGCAGGATATTTATTACACATATATATATGATTCAAAGAAGACACAATACTCATATACTCATAGATGCAGTGGTAGCTACTACAGCATGCATTTTATTTATTTATTTATATTATGCATCTCTGTCTTTGTGTTGGAGAATCAATCCATCCATCCGAGTTTAACAGTTTTGAGTGCAGAAACATTGATAATTATGGCACGTGCCACTAATTAAGTGTGCTTTGTTCTTGCAATGATCGTCACAGCTAGCATTCGTGAAGCATGGTCCCCTGTATGTATCAGCCAAATGCTCACAAGTTCTTGCCTCAGTCACCACTATTTCTTCTGCATCAAGATACCAATACAACAAATATTAATAATAAAGTAATCATGATATTGAACTAAACTAAGGAATGATGAGTCAATTACGTGCAACAAAGAGAACGAGGAAGAGGAAGGACAAGGCAGCTACTGATTTCTTCTCCATGGCTCAGATAGTGATGATGAAGATAAACTTAATATAACTCAATTCACTTTAATGTGTTTATGTGTGTGTTTGATATATGTGATGATCGTAAGACATATTTATAGCCCCATGGGGCTTGACTAGTAAGAGTTTCTACAATATACGTGGCAACATATTTTATCACCGAGTTTGAATTTTCATGGTATAGAGTCAACATTGTGAGGCGTTTTCCTGTGGAGCTTATCAACATGTTTGAAATTATAACTCATGTTTGAAATGACAATTGTTATATGTGAAGCGATATTTATGCTCTAAGGGGGGACAATTTTAAAAGAAAATAAAGTAGTCTAGTCTACATTTAAGATTCATAGTAGTTTCATATCCAACGATGAAATATACGACTGCCACTATAAAAATAATTGAGACAACATTTATATAATATATTAAGTAATATTTTTAAAATGAATTAACTCAATATAAATATTATTCATAAGACAACATTTATATAATATATTATGTAATATTTTTAAAATGAATTAACTCAATATAAATATTATTCATAATATTTATGAAGATTTGTTATCAATCTATTCACATAATAATTTTTATGTTTTATTGTTTTTATTTATTTATGTGACAATTTTAAACATTGAATAAAAATATTTTAAAAATAATATTGTTCAATTTAATGTGTTTTATTCAACAAATTAATTATTTTAGATTAATTATTTTAAGAATAACATTATTAGATTTAATAATGTCTAAGTCGGAACTCAATTTCATTTCCATTTAACTTTTTTATTTTTACTGTAATTATTTCTTCTGAAAATTGCTTCTTATTGTATTATTGTTTATTTACGATTTTTTTTTTAATAATCATGTATTAAAAAATAAAATCGCAAATAACTGCGTTTCGGAAAAAATACGTAAATAATCATGTTTCAGATGATTCCTCAAGGAGGAGCCATCTGAATTGGCGCCTACTCCTATTGTTTAAGGGGAGACACCATCTCACTTGGCGCCTATGTGCTTAGGACATGCCCTAAGCCAAGTGAGATGGCGCCTAGGTGTTATTTTAGGGCAAAATTTGAATTTTTTTTTGTCCGGTGCATTGCGTGTTGGATACAAGATCAACAAAATGGACTTTTTATTTTAAAAAAAATAATTACATCCAACTGTATTACATTAAAAAAACAGATAAAAAAATACAGGAAAAAAAAATAGATAAATCAGTGATCCCCCGGAACCCGGTAATGACCCCCGGTTCCGCATCCCCGTCCTCGTCTTTCCCGTGCTGGGTGTCGTCGCGTTTCCTGATGCGGCAGGGTCGATGGCCCAGCGAAGTCAATGCGGTCCGGATCCATAAAATCAGTCAGATCTCCATATCTAGAAGATCCGCTTTGGTACAGTCGGTTACCCATACCCTCAAAGTTTGGTCATGTTGGCGGTGGGTGGGGTTCCATGGTGGGTCTGTAGCATTGATCGTCTGAGTACGGTGGGTAGAAAGGAAATGAATCTTGGGGTGTTTGGTATTGAGGATGTTGGGTGGTTTGGTGATATTGTGGTTGATGGTAGGCTGGGTCGGTTTGTTCGTAATCTTTCGACATTCCCATATCAGGGCTAAGGCTGGATGTTGAGGGGGCCCATATTGGGATATACGGAAGACTGAAATTGTGTGTGGGGTATGCGGGTGTGCTGGTATTGTGATTGGTATTGTGGTTGGGTGTGAGGCATATCGGGGTATTGGTAGTGAGGTGGTGATTGTGGTTGGTTGTGTGGCATTTGAGTGTAATTGTGTTGTGGTGGGGACTGTGGTTGGGTGTTTGTGGGTCTGTTTCTTCTTGGGGGTTGGTGGGAGGTTGATGGGTTTTGGGTTTGTTGTTGGGGAAACGAGGGTTGTACCCATTGTGTGCGTGGGTCAACCAAGTACCTTGGATGAGACATGTGCATTTCAGGGTTACTAACCGACCTGTACCAAGATAAATATTGATCCATGTGTTGCATATTACCATGATTAAGGAAAACCGGGAATTGCAAGACATAGCGGTGACGCCTCTGTCACATCTTACACCATTCCGGAGCGAAGTCTTTCCAGTTGGTAAGACCCCACTGGGCGTCGACCCTTTTAAGATGCCATGGGGACAAACAAGTTGGATCACTTAGTATCTCTTGATGCATTCCGAACTGCATCTTCACACGGTCGCTGTGGTGCATCTCCACAATGTTGAACCGAATGATTGCAGTCTTCGCGGTCCAAATTGATGCATCCTCCGGGTTTGGATCATGGCCCAAACCCAAATATGGTCTCCAGACGAACTGCGATAAAATTTAAATCAGGTTAACGAAAGCGTAATGTATAAATAATTTAAATTAAGAAAAGTTTAAAGCTACGACGTACATCATTCGGGCCTAAGTGATCCAACAGATTGCGGTATAGTGCGACATTGAATCTTGGATTCTTGCCGTAATCCATACCCCTCACGCAGTACCTAAAGGAAATGAAAAACATTTTATTCTTAGCATATATTTGGTGAAGAGATGAATAGTAATAAATGATATAACTTGATGACTTACTTTGTTGCATACGGGAAACCGAAAGTGTTGTTGTTGACGGGGTTTAAGGACTCCATCCTCCACCAACCCCAGGCTTGTAGTAAAAAAGCGCACCCATAAAATGTACATTTTTCCTTGACTGCATTTTTGCACAAGGAACTGTATAGGTGGGATAAAACTGCAGAACCCCAACTATATTTTCTTGTTTTTTCAAAATTTCTTAGTAAATGTAAATACATAAAATTTACACTATTTCCCATACTTTCGGGAAATAAAAAGGTACCAAATAGTATCATAAGATAAGTTCTGGCTTTTACTACCCTGTCTTGCTCGGAGGAATTTTCGTTTAATTCCAAACTTGCATAATGACTTTTCAGCTCAGTGAGTAGTATTCCCTGACCTCTCGCACCACCACCTTCAACCATATCCCTGCCCAACAGTTCTTCACACTGAGAGTTGGGTTGTTGAACTGACCCGTTCACGACCTTACCGTTGACAGGGAGATCTAGCAGCATGTACATATCCTCTAGCGTGATGGTACATTCACCTATTGGTAGGTGAAATGTATGGGTCTCTGGTCTCCACCTTTCCAACATTGCAAGAATGAACTTCGAGTCAATGGTGCAGTTGGAGATCTTTGTGACATGTCCAAAACCTACGTATTCCAGATATGGTACGATAAATGGGTCGGGAGCCAGGTAGTTGTGAGAATGGATTCTGAATCTTTTGGTGTCCTGAGTTCATAATGTAAAAGGTGTAATATTAAATAAGACGAACAAAGCATTATCTGAAGTATGAAAAATGTATAACCAAAATAGAAACTTACAAATGCGGCAATGTTTTCCCTTGTGCCTCTGTGAGAATCGCCCATTGTTAGAAGAGCCGTTGTTTAAAATGCTTGAGATTATGAAAGACTTAGAAAGTGTAAGAGTGTATCAAAGACTTAGAAAGTGTAAGAGAGTATGAAAGATTTCGTAGCAGAGTGAGACTTGTGTGGGTGTGAGAGATGTAAGATATGGTATGTATTTATAGGCAAAAAAATTTCATATAGTGGTTATTGGTGCTTGCATGCATGCGAAGTGTCACTCTTGCAGGCTAGGTGGCAGCCTAGGGGGTTACATATATGCATGCATGTAAAAAAATGAAAGGTGTCACTCTTGCAGGCTAGGTGGCAGCCTAAGGATGTATCACGATTGGACAGTAAGGGAGGCGTCATTGGACTTGGCGAAAGAGTACAAAAATGAATGGTGTCGCCACCCTAATTGGCGAATAAGAGGTGTCCTTGGTTGCAGGCTAGGCTCAGGCTACCTGACAGCCTTTGGGATGCCATGCCTGAATGCATGTAACCCCATTGGAGGTGATGGGAGGAGACTTACAACATACAGTATAGGTGCAGAGTAGGCGCAGGCTAGGTGGAAGCCTAGGAGGTTACATATCTGCATGCATGTATCACGATTGGACAGTAAGGGAGGCGCCATTGGACTTGGCGAAATAGTACAAAAATGAATGGTGTCTCCATCCCAATTGGCGAATAAGAGGTGTCCTTTGTTGCATGCTAGGCTCAGGCTACGTGACAACCTTTGGGATGCCTTGCCTGAATGCATGTAACCCCATTGGAGGTGATGGGAGGAGACTTACAACATACAGTATAGGTGCAGAGTAGGCGCAGGCTAGGTGGCAGCCTAGGGGGTTATATATCTGCATGCATGTATCACGATTGGACAGTAAGGGAGGCGCCATTGGACTTGGCGAAAGAGTACAAAAATGAATGGTGTCGCCATCCCAATTGGCAAATAAGAGGTGTCCTTTGTTGCAGGCTAGGCTCAGGCTACGTGACAACCTTTGGGATGCCTTGCCTGAATGCATGTAACCCCATTGGAGGTGATGCGAGGAGACTTACAACATACAGTATAGGTGCAGAGTAGGCGCAGGCTAGGTGGCAGCCTAGGGGGTTACATATATGCATGCATGTATCACGATTGGACATTAAGGGAGGTGCCATTGGACTTGGAGAAAGAGTACAAAAATGAATGGTGTCGCCATCCCAATTGGCGAATAAGAGGTGTCCTTTGTTGCAGGCTAGGCTCAGGCTATGTGACAGCCTTTGGGATGCCTTGCCTGAATGCATGTAACCCCATTGGAGGTGATGGGAGGAGACTTACAACATACAATATAGGTGCAGAGTAGGCGCAGGCTAGGTGGCAGCCTAGGGGGTTACATATCTGCATGCATGTATCACGATTAGACAGTAAGGGAGGCGCCATTGGACTTGGCGAAAGAGTACAAAAATGAATTGTGTCGCCATCCCAATTGGCGAATAAGAGGTGTCCTTTGTTGCAGGCTAGGCTCAGGCTACGTGACAACCTTTGGGATGCCTTGCCTGAATGCATGTAACCCCATTAGAGGTGATGGGAGGAGACTTACAACATACAATATAGGTGCAGAGTAGGCGCATGCTAGGTGGCAGC